TATATTGTAAAAATTAAAAATTTTATTAAAATATAAATATAAAATTCTTTATATTTACGAGAAGGATCCCAAAAATGTGTATTGAATATTTCATAATATTCAAGGGCTAGTTTGCCCTTTTTTCTCTTAATATCCTTTGATCTTAATAACTTAAAGTTCTAAATAAAAAAGAAAAAAGAAAATATTTATATATAATGTATTATTTTGTTTTTATTATTATTTTTATCATTTTATTTATGTCGTACTCAACAACTAACAATGAAAATTTTCTCTAGCATTGAATATTAGAAAAATTACTATTGCCAATTTTATTAACTCTTTAGGCTAAATCAGCTTAAAATTGCTTCTTAGAATTTTTCTAAGCCTTATGATAATCCTAAAATAATTTTACAAATTAAAAAATAATTGATATAATATATTAAAATAATTTATATTAAAATATTTATAGCATTTCATTCTCTTTGCTCTTATATAAGAGCATCTGTAACTTTTTTTAACTATTTAACTCATGATGATCGAGCAGGAGTAGGAGCAAAAGTAAAAGTAGAAGCAAAAGCAGAAGTTGATAAAGATATATTGTAAAATAAAAATAAGTTTTGTTAAAAAAAAAAACAAAAAACAAAACTTCTTTTATATATTTGAATTATAATTATATATAAAGACATTAAATTTTTAATATATCAGCATATATTGTCTAATACATCAGCATTTATTGTTAATATTATTCATTTAAAATTTAATTTATGAAAAAATTCAGATTTCTAACACATCAGAATTTATTATCATTATTTATTTAAAATTTAATTTACGAAAAATTCAAATTTCTAACTCAATATAAATTTCTAATTTAATATAATAAAAATTTCTTATTAAATTTTTTTGAAAAATAATCAAAATTTTGATCAGGTTAAGATCAATATTAATTAGAGTTAAACAATGAAAAACAATGGAAATATCAGAAAAATATTAGGTTACTAACCTGAAACTTATACTTTTTAACTATATATTTATTATGATATAATTGTATAATTTTAATATTATAATTGCATAGTTTATAAAATTTATAATTATTATATAATTATTATTATTTTTACAATGTTTTTACAATATGATAATTATATTTTTAATTGCATTATAATATTATTATATAATAAATATATAAATTAAGATATAAAATTAAGTTATTGAATTATTAAATTATAGTATTAATCAGTGTGTAAAATTCATGTGCACAATGTGCTCATGTGCACATTAAATTTTTATGTGCACATATTACACAGCATAAAATGTGCACAAATAATTACTAAAAATAGATAAATTATATATAAAAATGGATAAATTATTTATAAAAATGGAAATATTATGTAATACATGCATTAATTTTCTATTTTTAGTACAACTTGTGCACATAACTTTTGGTTCAAATTTTATACACTGGTATTAATATCGTAAAGTATAGAATTTTCATAATTACTACATATTAATTATATTATTTAATAAAAAATCAAGCATAATTGTTTTGTGATTACGTTGTATCAAAAAAATCCTATAAGGCTAGTACTATCAATTTAAAAAATTTTGCTATGCTAATGCTATACACTCATTTTACAACCATGCATAATGCTTACCTAGCAAAAATTTTTAAACTGCTCATTACGGGAATAATCAACAGTAAAACATCAGTTAAAAATTTTACTGGAATTGGCTTTATGCATGGTTGTGATACTAGCCTCATATAATGAACATATTGTGATTGAGTAATAATAAAATAATAAATAGAATGTTATATATTAACCTTTGTTAGAAATGTTAACTCAAATTCAAGATCAAATAAACATTTAGATAGTTTTTAAACATAGAATATATTTATAAACAAAAAGAAATTAGTTAATAGAGAAATATAGTTTGACTTTATCAATAGAAACCCTTGCAGACATATTAATTTCAAGTTTTAGTTAAGTTTAAAGATATTTCTGATACTTGTTCATAAGAAAATGACATTACATATTTTTAATAAAAAAATAGACAAGTTTTTAAAAGAAGAAAAAAAAATATGACATTTGTTTGATATTAAATTAATTAATTTATGTTAATTTTTTAGTTGTATATATTTTTTTTTAAAAAAAAAAATTTGCATGTATTACTGAATAGTCATATTATTGATTGATAAAATAATGTATTTTTGGTAAGTATGTATGATTATGATTAAATTTCATGATTTCGTTATGATTAAAAGTTAGTATAAAATCTATTTAGATACTTATTTAACCTTTCACGATTTCTAATTCATTTCTTTTCCAAAATAGTTTAATCATGAAAATATAATAGAGAAAAAACCAAAAGAGGTAAGATAAATTTGTTTTAGTATTATATTACTTTTATTATATTTATTTATTATTTATCTATAATAATATAACTATCAAATCACCTTTAAAACCTGCTAAAGTAAACAATTCTCTTAAAGAAACTAAAACCATAAATGTGAATATTAAAAAAAGTAAAAGAAAATCAACACCAAGACGTACTAATGCAAAAAAAAATTAAGAGAGAATGAAGAACCTAATTTGACTAACAGTGATGATAGTATGAATTATGTTATGATGAATTATTTCTCGCTAACAGTTTAATCAACAAATTATTATTAATCTTCTATTTAAAACTATATTAAATTTATTATATTATTTATATAATTTAGATATGACTGCTAATATATTAATTATGAGTAAATTACAGTTTTTACCTGAAATTACATTACAACAAAATGAATTTTTAAAGACATACCATCTGCTTGAAGAATACGATAATAATCAACAATCATCAATATCATCTTTTAAAAACATTGACGATCAACAATCATCAACATCATCTCCTAAAAACATTGATGATCAACAACCATTATCAATACCAAATTTAACTAACACTGGTTCATTTTCTTTAATTGGTCCATTCAAAAAATGACCTTAAAATTTATATATATTTAGTATAATGGCCAGATCTTATCAACCTAACCTTAAATATGATGAAAGCAAGTAGTAATGAAACTGTAATTATTCAAAAAAAATCTGATAAGTTTAACGTGCTTCCAGAAAGAGTAAGTTAAAATATAAATTGTTGTGAATTGTTGTAAATTGTTGTAATTATATATTGTAATTATTATATATCATTTTATTTAAATAGGAACTTGAAACACTCCAGTTACATTTAAAATGTCTGTTTTTTCATACAAGAGTTATAAATAAACAGATCATAGATGCATTAGTAAGAACTTTGTTCTTAAATATTTAATCTATCAAAGTATTAGATCGAGCAGTATTGCAAATATGGGCTTTTGGAAGTTATCGTGATTATAATGCAACATTGAGGTGTGAACTTAGAAAGTTGATTCCTGATTTTATTAAAAAGTACAGGTAAAAGTTTATAATTGTATTATTGTCAATTGCTAATTCGATAATAGTAAGAAGACTAATCAAATCAATCAAATCAATATAGATTAACCAAGATAAAGCAGCCAACGGTACAACAAGTTAGTGAATATATCACAGAAAGCAATTGGATAGCTTTCTTTAAAATGCCATATAGATGTAATAGATAAACAAAAAATGTTTAAGGATTAACCTAAAAATGTCATTACTTTTACAAAGTTTGTGCGATTAGCATTTAATCTCTTTATTCAAGAAAATCTTTTGGATAAAGAAGTGATTGATACTATCAAGGATCTAAATAATATAACAGTTGATATGAAGATATTTGCAGCCAATGGAAGATATATCTTGCAATAATTGGATATTAGAATACTGCTTAATTTAAATTAACACTATCAATAAATATAATAAAATTGAGTATTGTATTATGTAAAATGAAGCAAATAAATAAATAAATAATATTCAATATAGCGAGTTAAATATATTTGATGAAGATCTACATTATTTTATTATATTAAATTAATTAAATCAGAATAGATCAAAAAAAAAATCATTTTTGACTTAAATTTGGTAAGATTCAATATAAAATAATTTAAACTTTTTTTTTTTTGATAACATTTCAATTCTTATTTTTTTTTTTTAACATCATCAACTTTAATTTTTTTTTAATAATATTATTAGAAAGTTGAAAAGTTCAAAAGTTATAATTGTTTTTAATATCTTAATAAAACGAATAAGAACTAAGAAAATAAGTAATAGAATTATATCACGCAAATGTATTACATTAAAAATCTCTAGTGATATAGGTAATGTATAAAGAAGAAAAGGCTTACAAGATGCTAATAAACCAACTTTATTATATAATATAAATGATGATAGTGAGAAATTGCAAGAAGGTTTACTATATGAACAAACAAATTATGAAACTCCAAATGAAATTCATAATTCTGAGTCTGATTCTGTAACCTCAGTAAGTAATGATAACGAGTTAATTATAATCAAAGAAGTTGAACGACAGGCAAGAAGAGTAACAGATTATATGCAAAATATAGTAGACAGTGAAACTAATTTTCAACCAGTAACTGGAGATTATAGTTCTTATTTTAAAAATTTTATAGAAATGCTACTTTTTACGTGGATTATAAAACATATAATTAGTAAGTAAATGTAGTTAAGCTATATAATCATTTTGCGATTATTATAAAATTAATTTTATTTGTTAGCTACTAAAACATACGAGGATCTTATATGTATCCTACAACATTCTGACTTCTGACCTAAACATGTTATTAAAGATATCTGATGTTTGAGGTTATTATATAACCAACTTCCACTTTAAATGATAAAAGGTCACAGAATTCCTATTCAAAATATGAAAACTCTTCGACATCAGTGCCATTCAAAGATGCTTATACTATATCAGTGATTGAATATATAAAAAAAGTCTTAAATAATAAAATTTTATAACAAAAAATATATTTTGGTCTTAACATCGAAGTTGAATCAAAATCAGAGTTTTAGCATAGTAACATATGATAAAAATTACCTCTCTTCAGTCAATCTTCAATTCAGATAAATCAAGGTAATATTTACAATCCAAAAAAATGTCAATTCAAAAGATATAACTAATAAATTATATTTAGTATTATATACAACAGGATCTTTTATTAAATACAAAAATAAAGGTTTAAGAATTAGAAGAATTCTGTTGATAGTATTAACTTCTGATGATATTAAATTAAAGATCTAACTTCTTTATTATAACTTCAAATTACCAAGGATTTTTGCAAGTTCAATAAGGGTAAAACGAGCTCAGAATGAGAAATTATGGTTAAGCAAAATCTCATCATTGACTGATTTAGATAATATTATTGAACCAGTTACAGTTTAAATTCAAGATACTCTAAATTCAATTAATAATTATCAATTTTACATTAGCGAAATCCTGTATCATTATGAAGGTCAGTGGAAGATAAGAGATATTAAGTTACGACATCATCATTTAAGTGAATACATCCAAATACTCACATTGACTTCTCAAAATATACCTACCTTAAAATTGATATTAGATATATATTACGATGACTTTGGTACTTTTCGTAATGTATATCATTCTTTAGGCGAAATTTATCTGCAGTTCTGTAATATACCTCTACAATTATGAAAGTAACTCAAAAACTATTTCATTTTAAGTTTCGTTCTATTTGATAGAGTTTTTGACGATGTAATAGAACTGATTATAAATGATATCAAGAATTTAGAAAAAGGTATAATGATGAATATTGATGGATAAGATATATAAATAATTGCAGCATTAGGTGTTATAACTGCCGATTTGCCTTAAGGTAATAATCTTGTAGATACGAAATATCATGGTAGAAATCAAGGATGTAAAAGTTGCTTGATACCCAAGGATCAATTAAATGATCTTACTTTAATATTAAATTAAATGCAAGATATAACCATTTCATAAATAAGAGAATAAATAGGTTAAAGGACTAGTTCAAAAAGAAGTATTACAAAAAACAATCAATGCATATTGTACTAAGCATGGTTTAAGAATGCATCCTAGTATTTTGAATTAGCTAACACGTGATCAACACTTACAAACTTCACAGAACATATACTATGCCATTGCTGAAAAAGTACAAAAATTAATAAAATGTACTTTTTCGATTTTAAACTTAAGTGGGAATCTATATTTTTTGATTATTGGAAAAATTTTGAGACTCTATCTGATTGGTATCGCCTTTCTAATCTGATCAAGTATCGTAACAGCTTTATCTTTTCTGATTGTTTATGATTGGGAATGATAATGCCATTTTTGTTACAATGATTGTTAACAATATCACATATTAAAGAATCTGAGATCAATATTGTTATAGAATATTGATAAGACACTGATGAGATATAGATGGGACAGATGGAACCTTTGAGATATAGTGTGAGACAGGTTGAAATATATAGCTGGGACAACAAATCTCTGGAACATCAAAATGTACATCACTGCCTGAGATAGCTTCACTTCAGAGAAAACTTACAACCTTAACAAAATTATATTCAAAGAGTCTATCACTTGTACAAATTGTAAACACAATTATTTCCTGTTGGATAATTGTTGCAAAGGCATTCTGTTTAAGTTTTAGCTTTACTTTTACTGAGAAAATGTATAAAGAATTAGAAGAGACGCTAAGAATTAAAAATATTACTCTATTAAAGGTATAATGTTTATTTATTTAATCATTTTACATAATTATAAAGATATAAAAAAAAGGATACAACATGTTTGGGTAATTCTTTATAGGCTAAGAGTTTTGAAGTTTCATCTGAAACTCATTTCGATATATCATCATTTACAAAAGAGTCAGAGATAAACATAGTCTTAATAGAAATACTAGTATTTATAATAGAAAAAAATTCAATTAAAGATATATACTTAATTATTAGCTATCTTATCTATTGTATATTTCAGTTTCTATAAAAAATTACAAGAATAATATAATTTCATCTAAGAATAATATTAATATATTTTTATATTTTTTTAGGTCTTTTCAGACTATTTCAAAAATTTACTGAATATACATACACTACTCTCGAAAAAGTATTTGATCAGCCGAAAAAAAAAAAAATTTATTTAAAATTTTAAGTGTAAATTTTTAAAATAATTAAAATCATTAATAATTAAAAAATGTCTGATTCTTTTTTTTATAATTTGCCTAAGCTCACCATCTTTATTCATAGAATTTGGTCATCTGAATCTTTTAACATTTGATCTATTATTAGAATTAGTATACCACATAATTACATCTGTAATAGTGCTTTTTGAAAACTTTAAAATGTGTGCAAAGATCTCATAAGTCCTTTCTGCTAACTTTAAATTGACAATTTGTTTGCATTCAAAGTCATTTAATTTGCGATTTTTTTTTCATGTTGAATGGCGCAATTTTTAAAAAGGTAAAATCAAAGTTGTTTTATGTTTTTGTATATTAAACCTGATCTATGTATTATTACACAAATATAAATATATGCACACCATCGTCAAAACCAGGAGGGTTATTTAAAAAAAAATTTTATTTAGTTGATATGTCCGATCTTGAGAAATTTAAAAAAAGCTTGACCAGATACTTTTCTGAGGGTAGTGTATAAATTAACATCACATTTAAAATGCACGTAACTTCAGAATACTTGTGAATACTTCTGTGAGAGTAAAGGAAATGGTATACTGAACATTTAAAGCTTCTGTTTCAAAAATGAACTGTAAGAACATTGAATTTGATCTTATTTGTCATCATAACATACTTCAAATAATATGTTACCTTATTGACAATGGTAAAGATGATTATTTTTCGAACATTAGTCGAGATTTTCATAATTTTACTATGGATCCATTGATTTATCCTATATTATCTGATTGGTATATAACTTAAGGCCTTCAAAATGATGATACGGCTGACATTAGTAAGCTTAATAGTATCAATTAATCTTTTTGTAAATATTTTTATTAATATTACTGTTAATATTACTTTATATTAGACACAAATATTTCATCACATGATAATAGAGTAAAAAATATTAAAATATAGAAAAGGGTCTTAAAAAGTGAAATACAGCAACTTGCTTTACCTGTACAACTTGATAATAACTCTCAATTCACTCACGATCTCATATGTGCATATGATATCTATATGTAAAAAAGAGCTGCGTTGATATATAGATGCGTGAAATTCTATAAACAAATAAAATATGATATCTTAGATGATAATGATAGATTTGATTCACATTTGGATTTGCATTCAAATGATGTAATACAGATTCAAGAGGAAAACAGTATCTCATATGCTATATTAAAGGTGATATTTATATATACAGTAGCGGTCATAAGTATCTGACCCCTCATAATTCTTAAAGTTAATTAATAATACCCATTAAAATTTTCCAAA